TGTCACTGTGTCACTATACGACTGATACTAAATGCAAAACTGTTCATGCATTTGAAGAATAGCATATGTACTTGTATCAAATTGTTAGATTTACTTACAACGGGTGCAACACTGCCATTCTAGAGATGTCAGTATTCGATTTACAAGTTTCAACGATTAAACCAATTGATAGACACAAAATGTCTAGTGCTACTACTTTTTGCAAACATTCTAATTCTAAATACAATTTTTATCGCTTTAAGTATCTTCGACATTAACAAACTGTACTTTTTTTTTATTTTGATTATCCATACCGGTAGCTTTAAAGCATCAATCTCTATAATTACCGCAAAATACACAATGATTGTTTATAGTGAATTGTCTTAAAGATCCTGTTTCAGAAAAGATCTTATCTCACACAAATTTATAGCATTCACATACAGACGGATCGATATTCTAATTTGGGATATCCAATATCTGTGAAGAAATCATCAATAGGTCCAGAATATATAATTGTACTGTTGGATACAGTTGAAGGATCAATGTCAAAACAATCACGTGACAGGCGTACTGTTATAACCATCAGTACAAAGTGCTTGTTATTTGTCACTGAAGTAACAGTCATCCAAATTATTTCTTACTGGTATTCTAGCTAAAACTGATGCATCTAATTCCTCTGGGTACCTTCCCCATTGTTTGTATGTATAATGCTTAAATATTTCTTCATACAGGGTAACGCCTACCCTTGACGTGGCCATCTGATATCCATTTTCAATATGTTCATGCTTCAATTGGTTTCGGGACAACCAGTCATCTACCTCATGTTGATTTGTTAAATGTTGTCCTCATAACATATTAATAGTTTTTATGTTAGGGGGCAAGGGTATGTAATGTCCATCAATTACCCCTAAAACTTTGTGTTCCCATCTTGTACAGTTAGAAAAACAGTTTACGTGTTTCCATACTCTTTCGCTATTTGCATAAAACAAATGTACGCCATATTTATTAATTCGTATTCCGTTTTCATCGATGTAATAATAGCAGTTTCCGCCAATGTGATCTCTTTTGTCTACAATCAGAACTTTCTTATTTCTTTCTTCAGCCATGAATCTGGCCATTACTGCACCCGAAAGACCACATCCGACAACCAAATAGTCCGCCGACATGGTATTGACGTATCAGATTCAAATGTCTATGACATTTAGGCGTTGATCAGTTTACATCCTCTGTAATACAAATTTTGACTTACAATTATAAATTCTTCCTTAGTTCTAACATTTTAAATACTTGACAATGGCATACCATGTAAAGCAGGCATTTTTAAAGGAGGACTCAATATCTAAATCTCAATATTGAACACGAAAAAAAAAAACGAGTGAGAAAGTTAAAAAACGAAAAAATGTATATAGAAATCAATGACTTATTGAGACAAGAAAATAAAAACCTTTCACATAATATTATATAATAACCATTCATACACCACATGTTGAAGAAATACTATTTATCAGTTAAACACGTTAAAAAAAATTTGGAAATCCCAAAACCCTAAAAAGGAAACAAACACGACCCCTCCGAGGTTAACTTTGTCCAATTGAAACTGATGTAAATTGGTTTTCGCGGTTTTTGGTTGGGTTTGTTTTGGTCAGTAGTTATGTTTTACATGTTATGATGTGTACAAAGTTGTTTGTCTTTATGTCGTTTTATTGTTTTGTCAGTTCGTTTTCCAACGATGAGTTTGACTTTTCCTTTGATATATTTCATCTCTTTTTATTGCTTAATTGCTCAACTTTTTGTAGAACAAGAGAGAAAAAGGTGGAAAAGACAACTGCCAAAAAACATATTATTCATTATACATGTGGTTGTATGCCAGCGTTTTTTACGACATTAACCCCAAATACTTGTTACTTCATATTGATACTTTTGTCGCATTTTTTCATTTAATGAAAAATATAGATGCAGAGCTTAAAACAAAAAAATTTGTATAATGTATAAATAATTTTATAAACGACATTTTAGAATTTATTTCAAATGATTGATTTTATGTAACTAGGTAAAAGTATGTCATGTTTCTTTAACTATTTGTATAAATATAATTGTATCAAAAGGAATCAACAAAATAAAACAATGTTAATCAAGCAACTACATGCAAGATTTGGAGTTTGTGTTGAATGCGCAGACTTTTTTTATGGAAGAAAGAGGAGGACAAACATATTTTCTCGGGTCAAACATCTGTTTTTAAACTTCATACAATAACAACATATTTTTGTCAACAACATACTACATGTACTGGAACAAGAACATTTGTAAATAATATTCTTTTATTTATGAGTTGATCTATCATTTTGATAGAAATATTCTATTAGTATTTACTTCCCACCTCAAACAAATTATTTATTTCCATGAACTTTAAATCAGACATTATTAACAATGTCCACACAATAGATGAATAGTCAGTGCCCAAATAAAAACAATCAGACTACACAATGATACACTTTATTTACGAATATGATATATACGTAAGTAAATTTTTCTGCATAAAATGTGTATAAATAAAGCATGTAAAGGCAACAGTAGTATACCGCTATTCGAAATTCATAAATCGATTGCGAAAAAAACAAATCCGGTTACAAACTAAAACTGAGGGAAACACATCAAATATAATAGGAGAATAACGACACAACAGACACTCAACACTAAAATGCAACACACACAGAAACGAACTATAATATAACAATGGCCATTTTCCTGACTTGGTATAACAATTGTGAGTTAGATTACTAATGTACATGTATATCTTTCGCATACAATTATCAACTAGGGACATTTTGAATTGTCTCAGACCTGAATACTATTTGACGTTTCAGTTGTTCCCTACCAGAAATAAGATGCATTGATAATAGTAACCCTTACCTGGTTGCTAATTTTCCTCTTTTGTGTACGTGTACATCACTTGATATCGATATAGAAAACTAGACAGATATTTAATTAATCAGGTTTTCACTGGATTTATGTAGCGTAAATTCTCATCTGTACAAACATAAGAATTACCACAGAGTTTAACTGTTTTTTAGTGGTTTACTTATTTAAGTTAATAAGAAGAAGAATATCACAAGAAGGCTATCAAATTCCATGAAACGAAGAAAACAAACGCACTGAAATTACAAACGAATTAATTCAACCAACTCCATGTCAAATTTGGTTAAACATTCGTTTTAAATAGAAATAATTTTTCTAACAGTGTGCTTATACTAAATTGCCTTACGTTTATAAAAGCTGCGAATAAATAAAACATCAAAAATCTGTAATCAACACAACCTCCCTATCAGAGTACAAGCCATCAATACGATAGCAAACCAACGCCTTTTACAACAGGACTTCATTAGTATACAGATGTTTATACAATTTGTGAAACTTATTACAAATACTCATTACCCAATAGATCGTCACCAACATCCAGATGTGTATACAATTTGTGTAACTGAAACAGATTTTAAAACATAGATCGTCACCAATATACATAGGTTATACACTTTGTGAAGCTGATTGTCAATACCATTTACAACATAGTTTATCACCAATATACAGATGTTTATATAAGTTGTGAAGCGGATTGCAAATGAAATTATTAAAGACTATCACATATACAGTGTATACATATGAACATCTAATTCAATATATTGTATAATGTGATAACATTGTTATAATGTTTGAAATTTTTTTGGCGATTATTCTTGTAACCGGGGATGATGTCAGATGCTCAAGAAGGGTCAGCGATTTCTGTTCAACAAGTGACACCTGCCTAGGTGCTTTTCCTTAATTAGATTAATGAGTCATATCCAGTAATTAGGCATATATCAGATAATAGTGGATTTATAAATGTCTCATTTCTAACTCTTAGAATCACAAAGTTAAAAACATGTAAAAACCATTGTACATGTAAATTATACAAAACTTGACCGAACGTGAACGTTTGAAATGAAATAAGGTTTCCTATAACTGTACGATGGATAAACAAGACTTTCATTGTTTGACAACACAGACATTGAAAAATAAAGAACAAATTACACAACATTGAAAGCATAAATAATACAAGTCTCCTTTTATTAAAACTAGGGGAATTCGTAGGTGTTCAGAAAGGGTGTGAAGTTTCTGGCCAACTGGAAGCACTCGTGATGCTACCATGATTACCGTTTTAAAGTATAAATTTTGTCATCTTCATATTACCACAATCGAGAAAAAAAGAAAGGATTGTGGCAAGGAGAAATAAAACATATCAATTACCATTTGTGACTTACATGGTACCTGAGGGTCAAACAAATCCTGATGGCGTCCTGAAAACATTCGAATGTTTCCATTTATAGGATCTTTGATTTAAATTATCATGCAAGCAGCATCAATTTATCATGGAAATACAATCACTAGAATATTGTATGAACTGCAAAATGCAATTCGATAGAACATAAGCAAAGCATTGTCTTAGTTTTTTTTTTTTTTATTATTTTCACTTCTTGGCGGCTTTTTTGAAATTTTCTGCCATTTTGAAAAAAATTTAAAAGTCTAATATAACGTCATGACTTACTAGAAACGTTGGATTACCTTTTATGTTTTTAAAAGATTTGGTTTAAATATTATTTGCTTTTAATTAGACATTTAGACTGATTGGCAGACATCTTGAAAATGGCCGTCATATTTGATTTTTCAGAGTGGGTCCATGCTTTTATCATCAAACCCACAATTCTTCTACAAATATGCACGAATCAGGTGGACTATCAAGAGAAAATGGGAAAAAATCGTGGACGAATAAATGACGATGTGAATAAAATAATTGTTCAATTATTTGCAAATTTATTTGAACTCAAAGCATTGAAAGCAAAAATAATGAAAATATTCTTAATCAACTCCTATTCAAAATATCTTTTAATTTGACCTGAAAATGCTCATGACATATCTACGCATTTTTGTTGTGTTTTCATTTTATCCGGATGATACTGTGTCGTTCTTCCGTACATGTACACCAACCGGAAAATACTTTACTACGAATAGACAAACGTTGTTTTACGTGGAAGTCTTCTTTAACACGAAGAGGCGCTTGTGATACGTAAACAAGGTAAATCAGTTATTTATCTAGAAATTTTACAATTTAGTAAAATCAATCAAAAAGAAAATTAAAAAAGAGGTAAGTAAACATAAAACACAAACATTCAATAGTCTTATTGTTTCGTTGGATACATGTATCACTAACGTTTACATTTTAACTCCTTTAATTTTTAATAAATAACATAACATTCACAAATAAACAGAGCAGGTATGCTCATTTAAATTTGTTTTTTGACTATATGTAGTTGTTAAGAGAATATTTCTTGAAGGATTCTACAATTATGAAAAAAATTCTCAAAAACTCACTCTTTAAAATTTATATTTATAATAATTCAACATGAAATCAAGTTATATTGCAAATATGCTTAAGGCAATTTTAAATGTTGATTTTAGTTCAAGCTGTATTAATGGATGGTGCAAATGGAGATGATTTGAAAAAAAAAACATATCTGTAGTAACTTTCAAATGGGTAAAAAAAATCGAAGACTATGAAAAATATTAAGAATGTGAGATTGACAAAAGGAACCTTAGCACAACGTATGTTTGTAGACTGTTGTTTGTCTATTCCTCGTTTTTTTAGTTTTGTGCCATGAATTTGCCAGTCACTTTTCAACTTATGAGTTTGATCCTCTCATTTGTAGCTGTCTCATCTTTTTAACCCTTATTTAAAAAAATATCATAAGACACGATATGTATAGTAAAATATATGCTTAACAGAGTTACGTCTTTAAAGGATAAACAAAAAAACATTCTTGAAAAGTTAATATGCATCAAACAGTTTGAACGTGCGGCGACCTTTCTAAGAACTATAATTTTTAATTATAAACGGAAATCTTTATTTTCGATTTCAAGTATTTTTTATTTTTTGAAGAGATGTTACTGCTAACAATCATCGTGGTAATAGCTTCCGCAAATGCTGATATATGTCTTACAGAGTCGAAACATGCACAGTGGAGAACTAATTTAGAATACATTGAACAAAAAGTGAAAGATTTAGAATTGGATCTCAAAGGTAATTGTTTTTTTTTTTTTCCTCAATTTAGTCATATCATAATGTTTTTGTTGTACTATCGTCAATAACCCGATAAATTGGTTTATTATATTGTGTTACAATTATGTTCAGTTGGATTATTTTCAACATAAGTACCTATGTTGTTGAGCACAGAAAGCTTACGAGACTAAATTCCAACATTTAAATATACAAATTTTCAAACATGGAACATCTGTGTTGTATTACGGTTGACATAGTCGCATAATATTCAAACGTTGAAACTCTAGGATATTTATACATTGTTATATACCGAGTCGCACTATTACAAATCCATAATTCCAAAGTTAGAATTACAAGAAAGATACAACCAATTTAGAATTGCAATGTTGCAATTTTGATCCTTTTTGGCATTCTATAATTTTAACAACAAAATTTTAAATAAAAATAAAAGAAAAACCAATAGCCGATACAACTGTTAAACAAATTCAATTAATTTTAAACGTGTTTCCTTTGTGGCAGGTGTTGGGTAAATGTTATGCTTTATGAAATGTAGATTTTCTCGCTGTGTTGAAGACCCATTGGTTGACTTGATCTGTTTTCTGCTCTATGGTCTGGTTATTGTCTCTTTGACACATTTCCCGTTTCCATTCTCAATTTTATTATAAAAAATGTGTTTCTTTCTATTTCATTAGATCATGCCAGCACCTGTAAGTTAGGATGGGAACAGTTAAACAAACACTGTTATTATTTCAGCAATGATGAAAGGACCTGGTTTGAAGCGGAGGTATTGTTTTCGTGTCTTTTACGCAAACACAACATTCAGTAATTAAATTGTACATGTTTCTGGACAAGTTTTCAATAAGTGGGCTTCTCTTCGTTTTGTGAATGTGCGTTTAATCGACGGGTATGATTATATTCAGATTATGAGAGGATGCATACGTGATTATCACAGAATGTTGCATGTTAAGAGATTCTTTTACTTAAAAAAGTAATAATCTGCTGAACCCCCCGCCTCCAAAAAACAATGTGTCAATGAAATATTAATTCAAAGTTTATATACTTTCAAGGTGACATTCTTAAGACGCACTTCTAAAATATGTAATGTAAAAGTATAGATACAGTTAGTATCAATTCTAACCTCACTTAAAATATAACCAAAGAACCTTTCTAAAAAAAAGTCTGTAAAACAGTTTCATATAGAAGTGGTTCGACCCTAGAACACTTTTGAACAGTTCTAACCAAGAAAATATTCTAACGTTCTATCATCTAACCGTTTTGAAATTTTTTTGTAATTGCTACAATTATTTTTTTTTTATATAGTTTTAAGACTGACAAAGTTGTTACAAGAGCGTGAAAAAATCTACATTGTGATACTTAACAATATGTATCATCACATAAGTTTGTATATATCAGGTTAACTTGGGTATAACAACACTGCTCCTAGAAAAAAGATGGTTAATATGCCATCCAAATATTCTACCTATAATAAACACCTAAAAGCTCCAAGACCTGTTTAATTGTCTTTCTAAGGCTAATTAGTGCTAGCATCTTTTTTTTAGTAATAACAGAAATATTCTCATTGCATAAGCATAAAGATGAGATATTTTGTTAGAAATAAGTACAAACATGGATATCTAAGACTGTAATTATTTTCTTACATTTAATCCTTTTTATTTAAAATAGGGACATTCCATTTAACTACGCCAGTTTTCAATCATGTTAAGAGAGATGCTCTTTTTAACGTCAATTCGATCTGGTAGAACTGTTCAAAAATGTTTATGAACGAACTGTCCAAATCTAGTCTTGGGCTATGGCTAAACTGACAGAATCTGTTCTAGTGTAGAGAGTGAAGATAAGATTCCAACTCTCGATACAGATATCATTTTGTTTTATCAAATCAGATACTTTTGAATTTCAGAGATACTGCAGAGCTCAAAATGCATTCCTTGCATACATAAAAGATGTAACTGAAAACAATTGGATACATTCCAACCTGATCAACATGAATGGTAAACATAATATTGAAGGGGACTCGGTGGCCGAGTGGTCTAAGTAGTTACAACTGTAATCACTAGCCAGTCAACACTGAGGTTGTGAGTTCGAACCCCGCTCGTGCGGGTGCACTCGACTCCAATCTTAATTGACTAGGTTTGTCAGTTTTCCTATCGTAGGTCAGTGGTTTTCTCCGGGCACTCCGGCTTCCTCCACCAATAAAAACTGGCCGCCACGAAATAGCCCAAAAGCGGTGCTTAAAAGTGGCGTTAAAACATCAAAAAATCAAATCAAATCAAATCATAATATTGAATACTCTATCACAACCAGGAATGAATAAACATGTATATATGTAGAAACAAAACAACGGAACAATATAGTAATACACATTAGGAGATGTGATATGATTGCAAATTAGACAATTATCCACCAGAGATCAAATAACGTTGGTGTATGAAGTTATGTAGGTCCTTGTACGGCATTCAAATCCCATGCGTATTTACCTTTCTTTCAGATGTTATAAGAGTAATAAAGTAGATAGTGTCAATGAGAGTCTTTAATATTATTAGTTACATGGTGTGTTAGTGACCTAACACGGTATATATGGGGTCAGTAAATTCCATATGGGGTGAGAGCGAAGCTCGAATCCCCATATGGAATTTACTGACCCAATATATGTCGTATTAGATCACTAGCACACCGTGTAACGAATTTATCTTACCGACTATCGTCACATGTGGTACTTTGACTAGCGACCTATCAAAGTGATTTTAAAGTCTTCAATACTTAGTATTAAGATCCTACTTCCATTTGTCTATACAGAAAACAAATGCCCACAATAACAACTTTTTAGCTTTAAATTTGTTTTATGAATTTATTTCAATCGTTCATTACATGTATCAATTTCTTCCTCTGTTGAAACCTTTCAGATTTTGTTTTTGTTTTGAAAGGAAAGTAACTCCTTAATGCCAACAATAACAACGTGTTAGCTTTAATTATGTTTTATGAATTTATTTCAATCTTTCATCATCAAATTCTTCGTCTGTTGAAACCTTTCAGATTTTTCCTCAACACCGTGTTGTTTTTATAAAGGGTCGTACCATCTTTTTTGTTTTGAAAGGGAAGTAACTCCTTACTAACCCCATATGGTAACCAACCATGTATGGTAACTTACCCTATATTTTTTAGGACACCCTATATCAAATATACATAGTCACCACGTGTAGTCCTTTAACCAATCATATCTTTATAAATCTATAAGAGGTAAGATAAATAATGATACATATTTAACTTTATATGGGTATTCCATTTTTTTTTTATTATGATTTGAAAATAGCACAATACTTACATTTTGACAAAGAATCAAATAGTTCTGATATCGTATGTATATATCTCCATACTAAATCAAAGGAATTATGCAAACAAATCATGTATCTTAAAACAGAATCTGAAGAATTTTTTTTTTTTTTTAATTATTTTCTTTTTTCTATAAAAAAATATGTTTAAGTAAAAAGTACCTATACATGAATATTCACCAACTTTACGTGTATTGAGATTTAGATTGATTATATCTAGCTTGTTTCAAATTTGCACGTTTCGTGTCTTTTGAACACTGGATAATTGTAACGTATGTAAGAGACGTATTCTAATTTCCTAAAAAATAAGTACAAAAGATACAAATAAACTGACTGCATTTGTGAATGTACAATTAAGTTTCGTAGCAGTTGTTTTATAATTGATTAAATCTCTCTCTCTCTCTCTCTCTCTCTCTCTCTCTCTCTCTCTCTCTCACACACACACACACACACACACACATACAGATATTGATATCTTGCAAACTATTCCTTTTAATGGGATGAAAGCTGTTTCTCTAGATTATATCGAGGGTTTTTTGTCTTATTGTTTCAGTATTAAAAGAGGGGCGAAAGATACCAGAGGGACAATCAAACTCATAGATCGAAAATAACTGACAACGCCATGGCTAAAAAATAAAAAGACAAACAGACAAATAATAGTACACAAGACACAACATAGAAAACTAAAGACTAAGCAACACGAACCCCACAAAAAACTGGGGGCGATCTCAGGTGCTCCGGAAGGGTAAGCATATCCTGCTCCACATGTGGCAACCGTCGTGTTGCTCGTGTTATTACAAATCCGGTAAATAGTCTAATTCGGTAGGTCACATTCGTGGTGAAAAAGGAAGTGGATTGTAATTACCCTGATTACGACATAAGGAACATATTCGATATCATCTGTGAAACGGTTATTCCATAACGGTCAACCAACTCGTGATGGCGTCCGTAAAATTTACGAAGGGATGATTTCAACTTCATCATTTGGAACTCTTGGTTTAATAGCAACCCCCTAACAAGGAAATCATGATAAGAAATACAATCCCGGAATATCGTATCAAATGGCAGATATATACTCCGTATGCAGGCGCTGCTGGAATGTTGCTACATAGAAATGGAAAGTTCACAATTGGGAATCAGATATCATCTCTTTTGTCGTAAAGTTTGTTTTCAACCGATCCTCCTTGTCAATTATTAGATGTAAGTCAAGATATGAGGCAGACTCAACCTTATCTGTTGTATCCTTTATCTCAAGTTCGATTGGATAGATGCGTTCAATATTAATTAAATTATATAGTGCGAGAACATCATCTATATAGCGGAAAGTAAAGTTAAAGGATATTGCTAACTTCTTATCTTTCTTCCTAAGAAGTTCCTGTATGAAGTCAGCCTTATAATAATAAAGAAACAAGTCAGCAAGAAGAGGGGCACAATTGGTTCCTATTGGAATGCCGACAGTCTGTTGAAAAAACATGTCCTCCCAACGTAACAACTATGTTGTCAATCAAGAAATCAAGCATCTTGATAATGTCAGTTTCAGAGAATTTTTTTTTAATCAGAGTGATTCTTTTCAAAGTAGGATTTATCCCTCCCAAAGACAAGATACTTGTATCAACGTTCGCCATTTTTTTTTATGAAACAAAGCAATACCAACTCTTTCAATTTGTCTTTCAGTTTGGAATGGGAAATACTTGTGTAAAGTGTAGAAAAGTCAATTGTTTTAATACTATTGCAAGATGAGAGTGTGTAAGATTGTATGTACTCTAAAAGATATTTGGATTTTTTTAGTATCCACATCTGATTCACGCCACCTCTAGAATAGGCAGTTTCACAATTACTTTGAAACCCGGCTTTGATTGCTGATAAAATAGATGTTAATAATATAGAAAAAGGTTTCGTGGAGCACTTGGAAGACCTAGCAATATACCGTTGTTTGTAGGGACACTTATGTAGTGTAGGTATCCAATACAGTGATGGAAGATCCAGTTCTTCATCTTTGGTTGAAATTCCAAAGGAACATAGAACAGACCTATGATTATCCAGGATTTCCTCTTTGGTAAGTCTCGTGAGGGTATATGTTGAGTTTCCAAGTGAATTATCAATACCTAATTCATCTATCAAGCAGTTTATGTAATGAGATTTTCACACAAAAACGATGTTGTTTGGGGCTTAATCGGCGGGGTCAACAACGTATTTGTCATGGAGGTAGGACGAGTGTTTTGCAACATTTGGGTCTTTAAAGATTAACGTAGCATGGGTATTGATAGACCCTTTTAGTTTCTCAATTCTTATTAGTATCAACGACCGCACAGCCTAAATCCATTCGGAAAGAGTATCTACGTCTTCTTTCTCGCGTTTAGCCCGTTGCCTGGCGTAATCCAAGACCGAATCCAACAGTATTTTGAAGTGGTATTTCCAATTGATGGATTTAGGCTCACGATATTTCGGACCTTTGGATAACACATTTTCCAGGGAAGTGTTATTGACAATGTTGAGGTCTCCGGTAGTAACGTGGCCAGCCGGATTATATGTGAGTTGGGAACTAGCACAGGTATATTAAATGTTAGTATACTTTGATATTAAGCAGTTATTTCAAATCTTTATCGAAAAAAAAAATGTCATCTTTAGGTACTGACCTTCTATGGATAGGAGCAACCGACTGTGATACAGGAATTTGGATCTGGTCATATGATTACGTACCTTTGACCTACTCTAATTGGAATACCGGGGAACCGAATAACCATAGAGGTCAAGGCGAAAACTGTTGTCATATTTATGACACTGGAAAATGGAATGATATTATGTGCAGTCGTAAACTAAAATTTGTCTGCAAGCGACATGTAGTAAGTAATGAGTATACAAAAATTGAAATATGTCATTTAAGTCAATACTCTCAATTATGAATTTGAAGCGTGTGTACTTTCTAGTTCATAAATCATGAATTAAGATGAGATTTTAGTTCTAGCATTGTATTTGTCAAGGAGAAAACATAGATATACATTTACATGATGTACGTAGCCGAACTTTTACTTTAAATATTTGTATCAAAGACAAAAACTCATACAAACCTTATTTTTTTTACTTTATGTAACTACCTTTTCTGTCTAGAATAACTTTTATATGTTCATAAAGTTGATTTGTGACACCGTTATTAACGCACTATTATAGTTGTGTAAGAATCGAAATGTAGTGTTTGTAATCTAAAATGCTTGTATGTTTGCTACAACTTGATCGGAAGTACCTAGTGAATCATGTCAAAATATGAACGATTTATATTACCCAGCTTAACAAATTAAAAATTAAACTAAAGTACAACCAAAGACAACACTGATAATTTAAAGCATTTTTGAATACTACATTATATAACAAGTATTCTTCTTTTGTTTTTGTTTTTTATTTTAGAATACCCACTGTGATCAGCATTAAATAGAAAGGAGATACATTCAGGAAAATGAAAGTTTTTATGGAGTTTTTAAATAAACGTAGTGATCATTTACCATAGAAAGTTTATGATAAAATAGGTCTTCCGGAATATGTATCTTTAATTTATACATTGTTCTCGTAAATTAATATATCACGTTGATACAATTGCAAGTCTATTATTTCATTTTAAAGTGGGCATGCATTATGACAAATCGTCTAACGCTAAGCTTGAATCTGTTTCCATTTCAAGTTGTCCTTTGAATTCGAAGTTTACATAGAAGTTATAACAGACAAACTCGTAAAACGATGAAATAAAAGTGCAATCATTTTGAGGGGATAATAGACTATCAAAGATTAACTTAATTTGAATGTGTTAAAAATGTTGTTCATGTTTTTAATCATTTTATTAATGGTCAAAGAAATAACAGTTTGACTATAAAAATACATCACTTAAGATTTTCTTAAAAGCAAAAGCTGCATTACACTTCAGTCTGGTACCACAATAAACATTGTTTTACTCTGTTGAAGATCAAACAAAACAACCACGAAAGATGCAACATTCAACTGAAGATAATCGTTTGGTTAAAAGTGAAATTATGGGTAAGGCGACGATAATTTTATCGTCTACTAGTTCCTCTTTATATCATTACATTGACTGTTTGTATAAAACATGATTGTTTATGCGCCATTCAAAGATTGTAATATATCTATTAAATTCTGCAAAGGCTATATATACTCAATGTTTCACAAGACTCGTTTAGACGCAAAGCTCTGCTAGCAATAACCAAAATGGCAATTTATAACACGTTTATGCTAGCGAACACTTTCAGCCTAACTTCTGATTTGATGATTCATAACTGTTGATGATTTATTATACAGCAGCTGATGCAAGTATGCCAATATGTGTTGGTTGGATGCTGAGATTTTCAACAAACGTTTCGCAATACATATTTTATTACAATTTAAACGTCCACTGACCTTAAATGTATTTATATTTGTCCATCAAATGTTATTAATCGTTAAATTGATCAACAATCTATTAGACTTTTTACTGGTTTGGACAAATTTTGTCTACATCATCCGGAGAGGGGATACCTGAAATGAAAAGAAAATAATTCATCTGTAATTTAAATATAAAATATTAGAAAAGAGAGGCGAAAAATACCAGAGGGACATTCAAACTCATAAGTCGAAAATCAACTGACAACGCCATGGCTAAAAAAAGAAAAAGACCAACAGTCAAAAACTGGTACACAAAACACAACATAGAAAACTAAAGACTTTGGATCATGTAATTCATAAAGTAAGTTAAAACCCTATTAAAAAGACTCTCCTCATCAGCAAACCAGTTTGAACAACATCGTCTCATCATCTAAAAGCAAAAATTTGAACACTATCATATCAGGAAGTGGTATTGCAACCATTCACGACTTTGTCAAAAGCTATAGATAAATGAATGATATACTAAGTATCACAGAAGGTTTGTCTTTTGATGAAAATATTCAGGGATATCAAGTACATGAATACGAACCCAAAACTGGAGCGTCCTTAAGCACTCCAGGTGCTGAAATAAGAATCAACATCGAAACCCAAGATCTGTTTGTCCATCAGTCTGAGAGTTATCTTTTGGTGGAAAGACGACTTCTTAAAAACGACGACACAGCGTATGCCGATGCAAATCTGGTATCTTTTGTCAACAATGGTATTATGTATCTCTTCAAAAACATCGGTTATAAACTGTCCGTCAAGAGATTGAATACATCGATGATTCAAATATAGCAACTACTATCTTGGATTGTTGACGTTTCCCGACGACTTTAGCAAATCGCAAGGTCTCAACCATTTGTGTTACAAAGATTTTACGACTGACGCCGAGGCTGATAACACTGCTTTTGCAGCTAGACATCGTTACATCATCGCAAAGCCTATAACCAAAGGAATGTTTTCATTCTTCATACCTTTAAAACACATCTTTGGTTTCGCAGAGGAATATGACAAGATCGCGTATGGATTCAAACACGAACTCACACTCGTCCGAGACTCTTATGCAAACGCAGTGTTAAGAGCAGCAGCGGCAGATCCAGCAGAGATATTATTACGTAAACTATCCTGGTTCGTTCCTCATGTGGTCCCCACCGATGAAAACAAGATGAAACTATACAAAACAATCCAAAGCAGAAATAAACTCAACTTTGGTTTCCGCATGAGGCAGTGCGATTCCATATCAGTTCCCCAAAGTAGAGAATTCACTTGGCGATTATCTGCCAAGAGTGGACGATAGAAGCCTAGATACATCATCGTTGCCTTCCAAACCGATAAAAGTAAACGATCAAACTCATAACGCAGCCGTGTTTAATTACTGTCGATTACAATATATCAATGTCACTCTGAATGTTCAACGTTATCCAGCAGTAGACTTTAACACTTTCTTTACCCAGTATTAAGTATCTAAGGTGTACAATGTAGTCGCCGACTTTCGTTAAAACTTCTTCAACATGGATGATATCGTTAGCAATAGTAACATTAATCCTTCTAACCTTATAGACCTATACCCTTTGTTCTTCATCGGTTTGAGTCACCAGTCTGAAAGATTGAAAGAGTCTGCGGTTGACATTAAAATCAGAGCAGAATTCGGGCACAATGAACCAGCGAACACCGAAGCCTTTGCACTGCTTATCTCAGATAGAGTTCTGTAGTTCGAGTCTTATAGAACCAAAATGAACGTTGTGTTCTAAAGTATATATAAATGGATAATAACTTGTTAAAATACAGTACCTAGAGAAGGGTTCTCTTTCACTGTGTCTTTTAATAATAACAAACTCGATACCCGGTTCAATCCGCCCATTCACTTAATAAATGGAAAGAGTTATGAAATGGCTCTGGTAAACCTGCAGACTTACTACTCTTTCCCAAATATTCATGCAAACATGCAAATTAAACCCTGAAGATGACTTAGTGTTTTGTCCTATAGACAAGCATTACCAATCTACGTATTGTAAGTATCGGAGTAACATTACTGTTAAAAATTACCAGTTCATTGAGGACAACACGCATGAATACACGTTTGTTAAAAGTAAATCGTTATTGTTAGACATGTTTAAACAAATCAGTGACCCGGATGAACCTGAACCTTGTCGTGCTAGTCATCGTTCTGTTTTAAGTGTGTTTGGAGGTACAATGGGGTATGGTGAATTTAAAAAACTGTTAAAAACTGAAAAGTATTACATGCAACGTGCTTTAGTATCAAAACCACTTCAACATGAGTATGATGTTGTAAAAAATCATCAACTCCTTTGATAAATTGAAATAAGCAAAAAACGTTATTTTGGGGAATTGGACCAAATTCCTAACAAGTAAATCTTTGTAAGAAATAAATAAATGAATTATCATACTTATGGTTTGAATTTAACACAAGGTCAAGCAAACAAATTGCAAATGCAATCAAGAATAGTTGTCCTGTTAGTGTTCGTTTATCGCATGATAATATAACGGGGGAAGATAAGATGTTGCTCACACTCAGCGACAAAAACAAAAGATTGACAAGTTGTCAAAAAGTGGTATGGTTATGGAGTTAAGTGTAAAACAATTCAAACAAAACGTGCAAAAAGAAGGTGGATTCTTACCCAAGTTGGTCGGTTTAGCTATGAGAGCACTTCCCATGGAAGCAAAGAGTGTACTCCCCGCTTTGGGAGCGGGTGCATTGAGGGGTTAAGGTAGTGCTGCCATGAGAAAAGCCATTGGGTCTGGTCTCTACCTTAAATGTGGAGGTTATGTGTGTTGTGTAAAAGCTCGTGGTAAAGGTCTACATCTCACCCCAGGTCAACTCCCTTCTACCTATACTTCTGTACTTAAAACATGGTAAACAGTTTTATGAAGGTTAGGGGTCAATTCTAGGTCCTAAGAGTCCCTTCAAAAACACTCCTCTGTTTGGGATGCTTCTTGACGTACACTCCAACTAGCAAACGTATCGAGAAGATACATTTCGATCCGTTGAAATCCTTCTAGAGGTAGAAATGCTTAAATACACCACAATTCTAAGAACATACAACACACAAGATATGATTTCCAGGAACCTATTTTGGTTTAAATGTCATTTGTACTACCAGTGCACTCAGTACAGCTGCCAAAGGAACCGGAACCATCGCTTGCATTCCTTTAAGTTCACTAGCGGTCATTAATTTGTTTGGAATGATAGGATTAACGGTATTATCCAAACGTATTAACGTACTAACAAAAAAACGTCAAAAACGTCAAAAACATAATGATACCGTACACCTAATTAGAATGTCTACATCTAAGATTGAGGATGCAGTTAGTATAGCTTTGGATGATTATGACATTAGTGACATAGAGTTTACAGATATTGTTACATGCTTAGACTCTTACTACAATGAAAAACAACACCTAAGAATGATCTTACTACGTTTACCTCATTATTTTTTTTAGCCTAAAAGAATAACAAAAACATATACATGTATATATGTATATAATAACCACTTGTGTTGGTTAGTAGTTTAACTGTTTCTAGGATTAAAGAATTAATAAAGTTTCCACCTTTTTTATGTTAGCAAATAACTGTGGTATTTATGACCGGTTTTCATGATTTCTTTTATACCTGTACTCACTACAAATTGTCCTTCTAAATCCTAATTATTCAAAAATCCACTACTAGCCCACACTTTCACACTTTCACCCGTTTAATTTTTTAATGTAAACATTTTTGCTTCACAATGCTTTGTAAATACATTTTTAATATTCTTAATCAAATAACCTTCTATTTGTGGTATATCACGCCAATTCAATATTGTTTCATTTCTAATGTTTTATGAATGTTTTATAATTTGGGAAATCGTTTTTCCATCATGCTTATACTATCGATCCTCATTTTTTTAAAGTATAATTTTTGTTTTAAATTTTTTAATATCTCTCACTCCTCTTTGAAAATCACAAATTAAGTCAAAATCCATTTTCACCTAAATTTCTGCATGTTGGGTAGAACTGACAATTCTATACTACTTGAACCTTTCACAGAAATATTTCATTTCATCTTACATGAAACAGTTCCATCAAATATATATTTTTATCTTTAAAACCTTCTGATATAAATATGCTGTAGTTCCAAACGTTATAATTATATGTGGTATAAGTAAGATTCCACATTTCAAACAACAATAGATTTCCCGTTTTTCTCACTTGATATTCAAATACTTTTAATAAGGTTAAAAAACTAAAAATCCACACTTTCATATATATGCGTTTTATTAAAATATACTTTTTTACTCATTTGGTCTTTTTGAAAATGTTGTTTGTGCTGTATTTAGACCCCTCTACCAAGAAATTTGTTTTGCATGCACACGTATAAAAATTGCGGTTTTTATCCAACGCAATCATAGGTTTGAACGTTGTTTTCAATTTAGACTTGTTTATATTTTTTTCGTTTGGGCTTGTATTATATTTGCCTCGGGTTTATATGATCCGTTCATCCTATGTTGACTCTTTCAAAATTCAAGAGTCTATCCTAAATTAAGGTAAATTATATGGCCTTCCAAATACCGTTTCGATTCCTAACATCACTGAAGAGACATTAATTGTCGAAATCCGGATATGGTGTACCAATTTTGGACCTCATGTTTGCGGAATATCATCTTTTCCGCAAGTTTACTGATTTCTGTTTGGTAATAAATTAATAATAAGATCTATTTTGTTACATCTGGTGATCTGTTTATTTT